GACTTTTTCGACTCGCAGGCGCCAGCGCGTGTCATCGGTGAATTCTTGAATCGTTAAAAATTCCAAGCCGAAGAATTTGCACACCGATTCACTTGAATCAATACGTATATTTTCGTCTGACTTTGGCAGTTGCAGAACTGCGCTTTCTTTCTCCGCCGTATCCTTTTGATAAAATATAAAATACGTATATCGTCGATGGCACAGATATTTTCCTTGATTATCTCGACTCGCGTTAGCCGAGTTAACGTTCAGAACGGCTGGGTTTTCCACGACCCTTGGATCTAGCCGCGGTCCACTTCGAGGCGAACTTTCACGGCGTTGATATGCTCGATAAAAAAGCGTACTCGACGAGAGAAGGAGAGAGAGAAGAGGTGTGCCACCGTTAAGAAAGAATATTAATTCCAGCTGAGCGTTTCGCTTGTGCTCGCTGTTTGGCCAAGCACTCGAGTTCACGAGGGCAGGAACGATTAGTTCCTATAAAAATATCTGGATGATAAAGAATGAAAATTAAAATTAAAAAGAAAAATAAATTCTTCGTTCTCCGTAGACAAGCTGAGCGTTCAATATATATACGTAGAAAGAAAGTTTCATTTTCTTATAAATCGTTTGCAGTGTTGGCTAGAGTACTTGCTGGTTTCTTAAGCGATAAACGAAAGCAAATGGCAGAATACAGAGGTGTGAAAGCGTGGAAGGAACGAAGGAAGAGCGCGTAATAAAAGGCCTCCTTCGCGTTGGCACTCGGCATCGAGCCGAACCGATATTCTTTATTTAGCTGTCGATAACCAATCGGCTGGGTTTTATTTAGACACCGATACCATTTCTCCTCGCTTTTCTCCGCACAACGATCCTCATTGTTACAAACAAATCTGTTCTACGACTATCGTCAACGGTCCCGGCCCACCGCCCCTAACGCGATACCTCTGACAATCTTCTTCACGCCACCTTTGTTGCTTACGAACAGAAAAAAAATATGTTTTTGCGAAAACGTCTTGTTCGAGAGACGTTTATCGATCGAACTAGCCGTGTGTTGTTCGATCCAGAAGAAAGGCGTTGCGTGGAGCAGAAGCGAGCGAGGAACACAGGGGTTGGTCAACAGGGTTATCTTCGATCGGGTCAAGATTCGTCAGGGATTAACCCTCGGATCAATTAACCGCACGCGAATTTATCAGGCTCGATATACGTACTCGCGTTTCCATCGAGAAACGATAAACGAGGATGATACAATTTTATTTCTAACCGAGAAAATTTGATTTAGAATCTTGAAACGTTTCAAACGATCAGACTGACAATGAGAATCAGGCCTCGAATCGGACACGAGCCACGTATTCGCACAAACCGTAGAAGTGCATAACCAGGCAAGGTTTTTGCCATTTGCCACGGGTCTCGTGGAACCTGGGGCTTTCTTTCTCGCAACTAGCCAAGGTTCTGGCCTAAGCTCTTGGCACCCCAGTGTGAAACGCAAAACCAATAATATACAAGGTTTCAACGGGGTGGTGGCCTGCATCCGTTGAAATACTCGGAACTCGAATCTCAGCGAAAAACAATGAACGAAACGAAGAACGGGTACCGATAGATTGACGAATCTTTAGAAATCGACCGACACCCTTGTCCTATCGCTCGGTTCTGCATCGAGGTTCGTGTCGTTTCGACGTTATGCAAGACAAATGTAGCGATCGAGAACCATCAGATCCGAAAAGGAAACCCTCGTGTTACTAGAATAAACCCTCAAGGCTGGGATCCGGTCCAAGTGTTTGATATATCGCGCCTATACGTCATACAGTAGACCTCCGCGTATTCGCCCCTTCTCGTCGATAAACGATCATCGTTTGAAGAATTCATGGAAAAAGCTATGATAGTTATGGACACCATCGAATCAGCCAGTCTGATACGATTTGACGATCAAAAATAACACTTACCGCGTATTTATTCGATTTTTAAGGCTCCGGAAGAACGTCTATACTCGTTGGGACAAACAATGAAGTTTCATTCCTTATTTAAGAACTAAAAAGGCGATACGTGTCCGAGGGAACGTTTTATAGTTTGTTTTCAATACACGATATTCCCGATGATTACGTTTGTTTGCGACGCCGTTTGATCGAGAAAAACGTGGTAAAAGTCACGAGTTTCGCTGCCCGCCAGCGGAGAACGTCTAATTTATTCCGTTTTAACGATCTGCGTGCTTGAACCATGGGTCATCGAAAAAATAGCGGAGAACAAGATGACTCACAAAGGTGTAGCTTATATGTTTTTGCAATTCAAATATTTTCAATAAAAAAAAAAAGTGCATGCAAATATTTTTCTTTTCTTAAACACGTTCCAGTATGCCTCGAGTAAATCTATCCGTTGTATACTATGGTGATAGAGTTGCATCTGTCACCTTGGTCCGAACGTGTTAATTTTTTATATGCCTATTTATAAAATTTCAAAAACTTTGATATACTTTTTTACATAGATTGATCGATCGCGTATGAAATCGCGGATCCTATAGAATCGTTCAGTCCCTTCATTCATGCGTAGACGCGGTTCGATCGAAACGTTTGCCAATGGCTTTCGTTGCCCACGAACGGGCAGGGATCATCAGTCGAGGACTGTCTCGAATGAAAGAGCATTCGCAATCGTGTCTCTGGCACGATCAGGGTATCATAACGTGACCCATTAACCCTTTAACCGGTCGCAATGAAACGTGACATTAGAAATGGCGCTCCGTTTAACTGGTTCTATCGAATAGACTAATATCCGATTATCTGGATATCCGCGACTGACTCAATCTACCGCGTCAATTTCACGGATAACGATAAATGAAACGATAAGAGTTGATTTATGTCAGCCGGGTCTTCGAAGAATTTCGATTGAATTTGTTTTAATTATAAACATGCGAACTGACAAGGTATGAAATTGATACTCTAATTGATACGCTTCGATTACATTTCGGGCTACGTGTTTGTTCGAACGTTGTTTACGCGAATACGTAACCGCGTAATTTGACGAAACGACGGCGATAATTTCTTCTTCGATAAAAGGGAAACAGAAAAAAAAAAGAAAAAAGTAATAAAAGCAAAAAAAAGTGTGCGAAATTATACGCGATTTCTGTAATCATTTATTTTAAGGTCGAATGAAGTAATTTAGCACAAAACACGATGTCGCCTGTTCTAATATCGTCGTAAGAACGTTTTGCTTGTTTTAACGAGCAAAGATAACGTAATTCGTGGGTGTACACCGAAGAGCAACGTAGGCTACTTTCGGCTAAGAATAAGCGCAGTGGGAAGAATCTCCCACCGGCTTCCTCTTAATTAATTGTAAGCACAGCCTACGTTGCGGCCGAGTGTACACGGTACGTTTTTAGTTTCAAAGGCGTTGCAATTATTTTGATTCGTTTTCTTCTTTTTTCCTCGAATCTAACGAAGCTTCTGTCGCGTTACGGTAGGTAGGGATACTCGTTCGCAAGGCATAGAAACGTATAATTAGAAAAGGGGAGCATTAGTCCAAGTTAAGATATTCTGGGAATTCAGTGTCGTGCCGTGAAATTCTTGGCCCCCGTTTGCCAGGTTCACCGTGCGCCGGAAGCTTGTGCAACTGCACGATTAAAAAGAGGTCACCGTCGCTATATGCAGTGCACGAAACGCGAGCGAATTTTCATCATCTTCGCTATCGTCCCTCGATTGTGTAATCCGAGGAGTTAAATGTAAATAGAAGAAGCATGAGTAATCTTGTAAAAAAATACATTTCCTTCAAATTCAAAGTGATTGTGATGAACGGTAACAAAATTTTCTCTCTATGATTCTTTTCCCAATTCCACTTCGATTGAAGCTATAATCTGGCCCAGATATCAAAATCACTTTATATTTATAAACCATACCGAGCCTCGATGAATTCAGTTCTGTGAACGTTCGCCGGCCGATGGAAATGAATAAAATTAATATTAATAACGATGTTAATTTAACGTAACGCGGATTCCACAGCGAATGCGTTGAATAATATTCGAAACTGGTCAATTCAGATATGGAAATGGTGTGCTGGCCATTTTCAACGGCGCCTGTTTCTTCTGCATAAATATAATAACCTGCACAAGCCGAGCACGAGGTTACGTCGTTCGCGTCGCGAATAAATCATCGACACACTTCCGCCTTCTCGCTTCTTTTCCCATTCCTCTCCGTCCCGTCGTTTCGTATTGTCGCGAATGGTGATCGATCGATTCGAGGCCGATTAATGAATCGAACATTGCGTCGTATTATAATGCAAATTAACACCTGACCGAGTTGAAATGGGTCGCGTGAGTTTTCGATGTCGCAAATGCCTGGTCGAGAACCCCCGTCGTTTTTCTGTGACCCGACGGCAGCATCACCGTCGCGCCTTTTCGAAGGTAATTCGAAGGAAAATGAAAACGTGGTTCGAAGCAGCCTCGCATAAAATCGATACATCGTCCGATGGTAGAGTAACGTGTATACCTTAGCCTCGATTTACTCTTCTGCCCTCTCTGCCGTGTGCCTCGCGCTCCCCTTTTTATCGTCAATGACCTCGAGTGGACACTTTTCTTACGGGAATTTCGATCAAACGCCTGGTCAGCCTTTTCGAACCCATTGGACCATGATTTTTACTTGTACGCACATTTTATGTCGTTCGAAGCGACGAGACTTGCGTCGATAACAGCGTCGATCGCCACGTGCAGTGGTGACGGAGCGGTGCGCACGGTAATTCGTCTCTACGCTCCTCGAATCCATTCAGGCTATGACGTAAGGGTGCTGAAATGGTACCAGCCGTGTCCGCGACCTTGAGCTTTCATCGCGTGCCAAGATTACGCTAGCGAAGCTCGTATCGATCAATTATATACCTGCCTCCGAGCCGCGACCGCGCTCGATCGCCACCTTTCCGTCCCCTTCCTATCGATCCGCGATGGTTCCCTTACTTTCCTTTTTCGAATTCGATCAAAACCTCAGAAACACCTATCAGTGATACGCGTAGAAAAAGATTTTCTCAAGGTAGGAGTATCGTTGTCATTACAGATGTCGATCTGCAGTGTCAAATTGACGCGTCGTTGGCGATGCCAGCCACCTATCAGACCGTTGTAGCCCGCGTGCAATTGGCTCAGCAATGCTGCGGATTGGCCCGGGAGCAAACGAGGATCTGCGAAAGGCTGGTGCACGATCAACACCTTCAACAACAGGGTTGGGCGGCGGTGGTAGCGAATCTGGAGGACATCACGCAGATGTTCCAGTCGCGGGCCGATCTTCTGCATCAGAGCTTCGCTGTCTATCTTTCGGAGAGGCAGCGGCACATGGAACTGCTTGCAAAGTAAGTCGTTGGTTACGGTTGTTCGAAGCTTAATTAAACGTAAAGGCATTCGTTGAATAATCGATTCACGTTATTATAGCTTCAACGCCGATTTGGGCATGTTAGCGAAGATACCGATCCTACCGGCGTTGCGAGCTCAGGCCGAAGGTCTGCTGAGTCCGGACGAGCAACCTAGTGAATCGGAGAAAGATGCCGAAGGGAAGGAGGAAGTGTTGAGCTTGCTTCGATGGATCTCGGCGAAGGACAATCAGAGCAGCCTCGAACAGGTGGCGGAACAGTGTTCGAGGGGCTTGGAGCAGTTCGACGAGAGGGTGATGGAGGCGTTGAAGGCGGAGGTGAACGCGGCCATAGACAGCGCGAACAAGCAGGATATGAAGGAGATAAAGGGCCTAGGCGAACGGTTGTTCGCCCTCGAACAGCTGATGGCTCAGACGAAGAAGCTGGTTCACGAACAAGGAGAGCTTGCCCAGGGCTTTCTTCAGAATCAAAGTCGCGCGAACAACTTGGGCGATGCTAGCGTTCTACCTGACCTCTGCACCTCGCATAGACGCCAGTTAGTCGTGATGCTGCAGAATCACAACCAGCTGCGCGACATACGACGCAGGTGCACCAAGGCTAAGGAAGAGCTATCGGTGAACATCTACCATCGGCTCAAGTGGATCATGTACGTGGAGAACAAGATGATGGAGGTGGACAGCAAGCTGGTGATATACCACGAGAGCTTGAAACGTTTGAGACGTCATCTGGAGGTGCTGCAACAAATCCATCTAGCGCCTCAGATGTACATGAATGCGGTGGCCGAGGTGGTTCGAAGGCGTACCTTCTCCCAGGCGTTCCTCGTATGGGCCAGCAATCTTGCTTGCCAGCTGCTGACCGTCCACAGCGAGGAACTTGCTCGCAGGAGGGAGTTTCAGAGTAAATTCGGGGGACATTTCTTGAATACTCTGTTCCCCGGCCTCGAGGACACTCCGCCACCTTTCGCCACGCAAGCGCCGTCTGTCTTTGATAGCGGCTTGCCTAAGGTATAGTTGTTCATTGCATCTTTCCTTTTCAGACGCTTTACAAACGGATTCTTCAAGGAATATATTCTATCGTGTGTTACAGTTGACGGTGAACGACATGGAATCTCTGAGATCACAGCTACCCGATTTGGCACTCGCCGTCTCGTCGCCAGACTTGAACAGCATCACGCAGTTTTTCTTGTCCAGGAGCCTTACCGAGGCCAGCACAGATGGTAACAAAGATAAGGATAGCACTTCTATGCGCGTAGACGTGACCAGCAAGGAACGAACGAGAGCACCGACATTGTCCGACAGGTAGCGAATAATCGCAGCGAACGATCGGAATTTCTTTCTCATCGTTCGTTTATCGATTAACCGAACCAACGCGTGTCGTTTCAGGGGTGATTTCGAATCGGAGACGGACACGGAGGAGTTCGAGAAGATCGGCCAGGGCGCCACGGACTCTAAGCCGGAATCGTTCGATGGCGCGAAACAAATGCGTCAGAAACAATTGGAGGTTGGTGCCTCGCGAAGCGTGTCCCCAGCTTCCTCGACCTCAACTAACGTGTCCCCGCTTAATTCGAAAGTCGTCGATCCGACGAGCCGGTCATCCTCCTCGAGCGAACCTGGATCCTCCTTCCATTTTCCCAGTATGTCCGTAAGCGAGCGTCCAGCTCAGCTGAGTCCACTCGCCGAATGCGTCGAGAACGGCGAGTCGAGCTGTTTGCTTCATCGCGCCAACAATTGTCTTCCCAAGTATCGCGACTCCGGTCCTATCAACACCGAGGAATCCAACTCCCTAAGTCCGAATCCTCCTTCCTCGACGCGGTCCGTGTTGTGCGACGGCCAGCAGCAACAGCAGCAACAGCAACAACGCCATCAGCTATCGGGCAGTGGCGGTAGCAGCCCATCCGTCGGAGTAGGCGCTACCGACTTCATGGCCACTGAATTTTACATGGACGAATCTCTGCCGAGCAGTCTCAGCGAGCATCCCAACGACGGCCAGCATCAGGCCATCGTTTCCCTTCTCCAGGTACTGGACGACTTACAGCTCGCTAACAGACCTTGTAGTCGTAGCCGTAAACGTTCCACTACCGACCATCTTCTACCTGTCCTCTTTCGATGGTACATTGTACGCTTGAAACAAATCCAACTGATACCCCTTTCACCTTCCAGTCGATTCGTCACTTACCAAAATTTCTCTCTTCACCCAGCATCATTTCTTTCTGTGGTTTCTAGGTACTTTCGTTGTCGTTGTCCCTTTGTATTCGCTATTAGCGCTGACCTCTGTGCAAGTAATTATCGAAACACGCGGGTATGTATCTGTGTTTGCCTGCCCTTTGTCTCTTGAATTCGTTGAACTCGTTGCACCTGTTCTCTGTCTTTTGTCTCTTCTAGCAATAGTGCTTGCGAGTGTCCGTTTAGTTGTGAACGCATCTATCCCGCGTTTCTTCTCTCGTTTGCGAATGCCTGTGTTTTCGTTTTTGTTTACAGGATAGCTGCCGTCGCACTCGATACTCCCCGACCTCCTTAGACCCGTGTTACATTTCCCTGAGATACTGACATCGCGAGAGTTCGCTTTTCAGAACAGACCGACGCCCGACTGAGACAATGTTTTCGCTACAATCATCGTCGCACACGACATCTTTGGGAGTCTCTTTTTTGAATCACACTTTATCCCTATCCCAGTTCTTAACCGACAGATCAGTTGTTCCTTCAGTTTACCGGTTTATTCGCGAACGTTTCTTTCCTCCGAAGCTGTGTCTGAGAAGTATAACGTTTCAGGAGAATCTTGGCAACACGCGCGAGGAGGTGGAAAGGCTCCGCTCGATCCTGAAGACGATGAAAGCGGTGGTGTGCGAGACGTTGACCTCGGTTCGTCAGGAGTTGTCGATTCTGAGAGATCGAAGCGACGAGGAGAAGGCTGGCTTCTTCAAGATGATCGAACGAGTTCGCGAGGCTCTGTCCCTGTACTCGCGCGAGTGCGATCGTCGTCTCCGAGAGCGCGAACAGGAACTGACCGTCGATCACGAGCTCGAGTTGGCCGACGTGAAGAAGCTGATCGAGAACCGGGAGGAGGAGATATGCAGCTTGAAACGCAATCTTTTGGAGAAAGAAACGGAGCTGGCTGAACACGAGCGTCTGGTCGCGACGATGCGGCAGAAACTGGAGACGGAGCAAACGGAGATGAGAAATCTGCAAACGCGTCTGCATCGTCAACTCGAGGAGGCGTTGGAACAGGCTCGAGCGGAAAAGGAAGCCGCGGTGAAGGAGGCGAACGAGGAGCGATTTTTGGAGATCGCCACCCTCACGAATTCCGTCGCGCAGTGTCAGAAGCGAATCCAAGAGTTGGAGGAGAGTTTGGCTACGGCACGCAACGATCAGCAGAGAATGGTGAAGGAGGCGACCGATAAGCTACAGCTCGAGTGCAAAACCGAGCTGGAGAACATCAGAAGCCGTTTCAAGCTGATGGCTGCGTCCACGATGGAGAGGAGTCCGAGCGACAGCAGCCTCGAGAAGATCGAGGTAAGAAATTTCGTCGCTGTATCGTCTTTATCGTCGCTATAGCTATCTATAAAAAAAATTTCAAACCATGTTGTTGCTTTTCAGAGACCAGACGTGATCGAGTTCGCCAACCACATACTGGCCCAGGCGAAGGAGGACATGAAGTTGGAGAAATCGGTAGCTATACGTACAGCGATCGAGAAAGAACGAGCGGACTGCGTGATGAAGTTGGATCACGAGCTGCGAGTGGCCAGGCAAATGGTCGAGGAGAAGGATAAAGAGGTGGAGATGTACCGGATGATAGAAATCGCGCTTTCCGAGGAATGTAAACGTTACAAGAGCACCATCAGACGATTGACCGAGTCGGAGAACTTCAAGAACATACCGGTCGAGGCTGGATTGCACAAGGAGCACGGCGAGGAACGGCTGGAGATGAGCCAGAGCAATCTTGAGGAGGTGGCGAAAAGCGTGGAAACGGATAAGGACGAGGTGGAGGTGTCGGAATCGAAGAAGGTGCGTTTGGAAGCAACCGACGACGCGAGTTATCTGTCCAGGAGGCTAGAGTTGCTCGAGAACGACAACAAGAGGTTGAACGCGGAGTTGCAATCGCTTCGCGAGAGCAAAGAGTCGGCTGAGACGAAGATAGAATCTTTGGAAGCGGACAAGGTTCGTTTGGAACTGGAACTTGTGAAAGAACGATCGAGGAGAAGCTTCGCAGCTGATCCTTCGGAAAGTCGCGAGAAGGAGATGAACGCCTCGGTGGCCATGGTTTCCGAATCAGGCTCGAGTCAGGACGCTACCAACAGTCCATTGCCGATTCGCGGATTCACCTGCACCACCTGTTTGTACTCGTTCTCGCATATACAGAAGAAGATCGAGCAAACCGCGGCGAGACTGGAGAAAGAGGGTCGCATCACCGTGACCACCTGCAATCCCGGGGATGTCGTATTAGTTTGTTGGAATCCGGCTCACGGAAAGTACACGTTGTATCAGGAATCATCGATGCTTTATTTCCTCAATTCGGACTGCATGAGTACATTGAAGCTGGGATTGCATCAGGACGGGACCCCGAAGAAGATACAGACCATCGCCGAGGTGATCGATAAGCAATTCTGTCAAACCAGAAAGGTGAGATTTCCTTTTTTTTTTTTTTCTTTGTTTATCTTAGGTAATCTATTGATTACTGATCATGAAATTTCTCACGTTTCAGTCGGAAAATCGGTATCGCGTGCCACGCGGCACCAAGTTCTATCGGGTGCGCGTGAAACCGGTGGACGAGAGCGACGCTCTGTTGGAGAGCGAAGAATTACGCTTGCCTGATTAGAAGCCACGGGAGCATGGATCTGCATAAGCGAGTAAAACGAAACATCCGTAATCTTGCAACGTGACATACATATTTAGGATGCAGATCCTTGGCTTACGCGTTCGCGAACATCCGGTAATCCTTCGATCAAGGCCAAAACCTGCCAGAGCCTGTAGACGCATCCTTGACGAACGTTCAGAGAAGGAGTTACGGATGCTGCCCAGTTTTGGGTGCCAGCAAACACGATAAGAAAGGATGCGGCTGGCGTTTCATTGTGATATAAGTAATTTTTAAACGAGCGAAACATAATTGCCGAATGCTGTGGTTAGCTGTGAAGCCCGAACGACGTTTGTATTCCTCTTCTCCCCCCTTTTTTTTTTCTTTTCACACACACACACGAGATTGAAAGAGAGATAGAGAGTGAAAGAACGAGAATGAGAGAGATATAGAGCGAATGAAAGCGAAAGGATGAACAATCGCGAGTATATTATTAATAATTAACGTCACGGACGATCTTCTTCTTGTAATTTCACAAGCGCAAGAGATAGTCTCTTCTTTTTTCACTTTGATTTCGAACATCAAGACGCGTAGCTTCCTCGTTCGAATTAATTACTATATTAATACTATTTGTCTTTGCACCGTGTAAGAAAACAACGAACGAGGAAGAGAAGACAAACAAATTTTCGTAGTACGGTAAGTTTTACAGAGAAACAAAAGCAAAATGATTAAAAAAGAAAATTTAAAAAAAAAAAAAAAAGAAAGAATACAGAAGCAGAAGGAGGTAACGAAATTTACGGAAAATTGCTTTGTATATGCAGACAAATATATATGTATATTATATACATGTGATATATAATATAATACCATGTACATCGTTATACGAAGCGTGCAATATTCGCGTTCGAGAAGAAAAAAAAAGAACAAAACGGAAGAGTATCACGCGTGTGCGTACACGCGTATTAGGTCCTAAGGTGATGCTAAGATTTTGTAAAACGAAATTATCTAATTAACCACGTGTTGTGCAATTCTCGAGACACATCTTTTAACGCACGTTACGAAGTTCGCTTAATTTTTTAAATGAACACAAAAAAGAAAGCATAAATACAAGGTAGAGGAAAAATCGTATAAAATCGTTTCCTCCTATCGACCATATTTTCATTCTTTTTTTTTTTTCTTCTGACAATTTTGTTTCGAGTGCCTCTATTATTGACGCGCGGTTTTCGCCGATCTCGCATCGAGAGGAGACCGTGTGGCACTCGTAAAAATTTACTTCGATGCGTAACGACGAAAGATTAGGCCCCGTCGATGAACCCGGTGCGAGGCAAACTCTTCGTAGGATGAATTTTATAAATAATACGTGTGCGCGCTTAGATTAACGCGTACACCCACCTAGACCCACGTACACATATACTTATATATATATATATACACATACACACACAGAAATATGTTCTTTTGTACTGTCCTTAGCGAAAGAGACACACAGACGGATATGTAGCTTCCTCGCAAAAGAGATCCTTCGATTTATCTATCTATCACTGTTATCGTTTATCCCGCGACAGTTAAGCACACTCATAGTATCGTACAATAGCTGTGATCGTTAGACTCGACGTTTTCACTTCTACTTAGCGGTTAGATTAATCTTAATTGACGCGATTCGACCACGTTTTCCGTGTTAGCCCTAATTTTCTTTTTTGTCGCATGGAAGAACGCGAAAAGCGTGGCTGAATCGGCCGGCTCGATCGCTCGTCTCCCCTCTGATTTTCGAGTTCGAGCGACAAGCAAGACGGGGACGAAAAGATAGATTCGTTCGTTCGATAGGTTGTAGTACGAGGTTCGTCGAAAGAACGATACGCAAATCTCATTGACGTAGATCGTGCAGGAAAAGCGATTTCCTCTTTATTCTGCGAATCGAAACACGCACTTTACCGCATGGATCTAACACGAATTCTGTTCATAGCTACATTTACCCTTTCAGAATCCGTGTCGTTCGTTCAAAAAGACATCGTGCACGGGGAACAGATTCGAATTACAGATTTACCAAGCGTGCTTGGAAGATTTTCATTATTTATCTTTTAACATTGTCGCAACTTTCAGACAGAAGCGACAGAAGCCGCGATATCGCGTGAACGGATATTTAGCTTCGACGATCGAGCACGCGGTATCGAGTGTCGAACAATTAATTTATGACAGAGAGTTTGAATGATGAACGTTTGAAACTGGGTCCAAAAATTCCATCATGGTACTTAATCGTAATTTCACTTTTAACAATTGTGCTTGTTCCCTCTGTGCACGCTTATCCACGGTTCCTATTAGTCCAATTCACGGTTTTGATAACCAAACACGATATCATCTTGAGGTTTTTACAATTCGAATCGTCGATACTCGATGATCGTCGGACGAGCATTTAGCTGCAACGTCGATAGACGGTCACTCGACGCGGCAGCTTATGTTCTAACACGGTCTCGAGAGCTTTTCAATTGGACAAATTCAAGGATCGATCCTTTCGTCACGTTCGATACGTTTCTGAACGCGTTGCGAAGCGATTTCAATTGGAACTATGTAGATTTTAGCTATTTTAGTGTTGAGCAAAACGAATGCACGAAGAAATATGAATCGTGCAAAGGTACATCGTTAATGAATCAATGGACAATCGTCTATCTCAAAGATTAATGTAAGAACATTTTGATGTACCAAGAGAAAATAAGCAAAAAAAATGAGCTGAACACTCAAAGGTGCGAAAGAAATCAAATTAACGAGAAAACTTTCTAATGGTCGCAAGAAGCTTTGCAGAACACGCGTGCTCTTTTTTCTATTTTTTTTAATTCAATTTCGTGATCGCAAGGTTTCTTCGATTGTTCTATAATTTTTCATTTGAAATTTTCGTAATTCATTCGAAACGTATGAAAAGACGAAGATCAATCGTGCAACGTAGTCTCCAATTCCGCCCAGATGAACCTTCTTCCGGTTCGACTTTCAAGTATCTCAGAAAAAAAGTAGAAGTCTCCTCTTTTCCCTTCTTCGAAAAGCTCCGTTGGACCGCGGTTGGTTGCAAGCAGAAATCAAAACCGACGAGATTCCTTCATTTTCTTCCGAACTACGCGAGACCCCAGCTTTTAGACGAGTTTCTAATAAAACAATAAAAAAAAAGACTTACTATTAAATCTTCTAAACGAATGCTCCGTAAGCTGGATCCGTTGGTCTCGTGTAAGTTTCGTCGATCCGTCGGCCAATTCACGAATTCCTAATCGTTCGCCCTGGTTTAGACACGCGGTGTACAGTCTCGTGCAAAGATGGCTCTCTGAGACGGCGATCTATGCACGAAGATGTACACGGATTCAGATATCAAAGCTACGTGCCTGGAACGTGTTTTTAGCTGTGTTACTTAGATCCTAAACGATCGCCTCTAAAATCGAAGGGGAAAGTTCGATCGAAATGTTATGATTCCTTTGATAAGAGATTATACACGGACGATCGTAAAGAAGGTTTTCTTCTCTTGGAAGAAGATGAAACACGCGTCGGAAGATCGTGAACGAAGAGAAGAAAGAGAGGAACGTGAAAGAGGGAAAGAAATTTTGTAAAGACGGCGAAGAGAAGAAAGAGAATGTGTGTGTGCGTGTGGAGGATAGAGCCGCGTTTTTATTTTTCTAGCGATTCTCTGACGTACACGTTTATCCCTCACCCTCTATCCTTCCACTACTTCGTTCCCATTTTTTACTTAGACGCCTAAAGAGACAAAAGAAAAAAAAAACAAAATGATGAAAAAAAAAACGTGTTATGTAAAACGTAGCGTAACGATATAGAGTTTGTTTTACGTGTGACGTGTATAGGACAAATGTAATTCGATATTATAGAATATTCTTTTTTTTACCGACCAAAATTTATACGCTTAGAGAGGTTTATACACACTTGCGCGAAAAGGGTGGTAATGGTAATTCACGTACAAAAGAAAAGGAAAATATACGCGACCGAGAAGAAACGATGAGAGAAAATTTTGGCGATATCGTGTGACGTATCTTTTAGGTTTGCTTTCTTTTTTAATTTTCCTTTCATTCTTTTTCTTTTTTTTTTATATCAGCAACACCGCCAATGTATTTGTTCTTTCTTTCTTTAAGTAGTCGGAGTAAATATCGAAAGAGAGGCATTTCATTTTTCATCAGAATGTTTAAACGATTTCGTCGAACGTTCGCTGACCGATCGATTCTCTTTATAGAACAATTAGATCTCGAGATATACCCACTTGGAGGACACTTTCAAACGAATCTTTCCCGGGGAACAAGAGCGCAATCTTAGCGGTTCACTTTGCTCTGGATTTATATAAGCGGATCCGCGAACGTGCGTCTCGCGATCACGTCTTTCTTCTTAACCCGTCGACGATGATCTTAGTTAGGATACGCTTATACAAGGAATCATTCTAGAGACCGCTCACGCACTCTTTTCTCTTCGATATTAGCTTTCGATCACTGTCGGGGGTTAACGAAACGAACGCCCAGAGACCGTTTGATTGATCGTTCGACGAGCACACACGCGTGCGGATTCCCAGTCGATTTCGTTACTCGTGTCAGCCTTGAGTTTGTCGTCTGAGGAACAAACGAGACAAGATAAACTAAAGCAAAGGAGAAAATAACAAAACGAGAAAAAGAAGAAACGATTATCGCGCATGTAATCCGAGAAAGTGTAACGCAAATAGGTATATATGATTATATTACATAAACATACATACAGTTGTGATCGTGAGAGTATCTGTTACGAATAAATAAATTACGACTAAACCAGGTAAATTTTTTCAAAGCTACTTCGACTCGAATGCTTTCAATCCCCTTTTTCTTATTATTCAAGCAGCATTTATTTAATAAACGTTTATTCATTGGTTTCTTTTTTTTTTTTTATTTAGTTAACAACGAAGGATGAAAGGGCGAAAGAATATTGCACGATGGTGTCGCGTTCGAGGTGCAACTATCGTATATTTGATATTTATAATACAAATGAAGAGACGGTCGAGAGGATGACCTAATGATGAGGAACGTAGCTCTGCGAGTTCTGAGGGCAACCAGGTAACAGATTCGAGGTGTCCTCTTCCGCGGAACTGCACAGCATCCCTACCAACGTGTAATCAACGAAAGGTGGTAAATCCAACTCGCTCACGTCCCCGTAATTGATGCCCGCCTGTGGTGTACTCGTCTGTGGGGTGTTCATAGTCATTTGAGGTAGCCGGGTGTCCAGCACCTCGCAAGTGTAATGACAACGATCGTTATTAGGATAGAAGAAAGGTTCCGGGCTATTCTGAGATTGCAACGAAGCGTCCATGCCGTTCGAATCCGGGAACAACCTGTCCGTGGTATCCGGATTCGTTTCATGGTTTCCATAGTTGTTCTGCAATCTTTCGTCGAGAACCATTCGATTGGTGTTCTGATGGGGCCGACAGGCGGTGGTCAACTGATCCTTCGTGTCCGAATGATCGAACAGTTGACTGTAACCGTCGTAAGTGTACTGTTTGTTCTCTATCGGGCTACGACTAGGACGAACAGAATCGGTAATCCCGTTCTCTTTCTTCGAGTAGGCGGTGTAACTTCCTCTGTCCATCAGACCAGGCTGGCAGTTCTCCTTGGTGAAGCAATTCACGTTTCTTCTAGAGGTCAACAAGCTCTCGTCCTTCTGAGGATCGAAACCAGGAAAGTTGAGACGATCGTCCTGCTGGTTTTGAACCCAGTAACTAGCCTCCTGATCGTTCTTCACAGCGCCGTCGAGGAAGCTTTTATGATTTTGATTGCGTTGATAATCCTGGAAGTTCAACGGATTGTTCAGATGGTGATTCTGATTGATCTGTTTGTCCGGAACGAAATGGTTCATCGGTCTCTTGGAGCAGTAACCATTGGTGTCCTTGTCCGTCTCGAAGGTAGGAAACTGAAGCCTGTCGTCTTGAGGTATACTCAGATGGCTGCTGCTCGAATCCTCGCTGAGAAACTGATTCCAATAGGTCTGATCCTGATGCTTCATCTCGTATTTGATAGTGCCGCTTCCGAGATCGAGTAGAGTAGACGGTGACCTTGCCACGTCTTGGGAATTCATTGGGAAATCTGGTCTCAGAGGTTGATCCAACTGGAAGATCTCTTCCGGTTGAAGTAGTTCACCGGTGAACGGAGGGAAATCGGGATAGGAAGCTTCCTGGGGTA